TGCAAGAATACTTTCTTCTATTAAATTGGCATTCTATGATGCTCACCTTCCCGACACAACCGCTGAAGACAAAGCAGGCGAATAAGCAAATGTGGTGAAGAAAGCTGATGGTGCCTGGCTATCAAATTGTAGTCTTATTGGTGCCCCTGTAGAGTGGTATTTTGATTTTTAAGAGCTATTCTCAGACTTCTTTGTCTTTGGTTTGGGATGTTGCAATTAGGATAGACCTTGCTGACTTCCTTTTCAAGATTATGCTGCTTAAGGTTTGTTCAGCTTCTTGGATGGAAACCTCTCTTCTTTCATATTGGGGAAGTTTACTGCCCATAAATCTTTAAAAAATCTCTGTGGTTTTTTGCCTCCTTCTTTTCTGGAATCAGAATTATTCTCCCTCTTAATAGTATCCCATATAACTCTCAGGTCTCCCTTCATTTCTTTTATCATATTTCTGTTCAGACAGAATAGCCCTCTAATTAGTGCGCAAATGGATTTGTCCTCTAATTTGCCGATGATTCTTTCTTTCAGGGATTCTATTTCTGTAAATGACAATTGAGTTCTCTCTCTGTGATATTTTGTGATGTTTGTGCGTCGTTTCTAATTTTCTCTGTATTTAGTCCTTTTGTTCTTGTGTTGTTTTCCTGAACTTGTTTCGGGTTATGTCTGTGTTTTCTAGGCCAATTTGTGCACACAGAGGGAGCTGTCCCCACCTAACTGGGCAGCACTCTCTCTCAGCAGAAATGGGGATGTTCATTGGCGTCTCAGTAGATGGTGGGGTCGCAAGAAGTTCCAGTGCAAGTACAAACAGCCTGTAGGAATCGTTTGGTGAAGGATGGGACGTGGCAGTCCCACTCACTGTTGCGCAGAGGTGCGGGTGACACCTGTCAGATACAACTGGAATCGCTAGTGAGGTCATGTGCCCGTCCAGCCAGTCACCACAGAGTGGGCATGGGGAGGGCCTGGCTGGCTGCTGGGTTGAGTCCTGGCTCTGTGTCCACAGTTGCCAGGTGGGCCTTGCACCTCTGGGAAGAATCAGTGGGTGTGGCCAGCATTGCATGGGTACATGAGAGCCTCTTCTGCCTCTGGGAGGGAGTGGTGGATGGGGCTGGCTTGGGTGTACAAATTCAAGCCTCTTACACTGTAAGTAGGGGGCTGTGGGTTCTGGCTTTTGGGTCAGTGTGGGCCTTTTGACTTTCAAAGAGGACTTTGTGGGCCGAGCTGAGCTGGCATACCTTGGCTGTATCCACCTTGGCCTCAGGTGGGGTGACTGTGTACACCAGGCTCTTTCTGGAGTGTGGGCTTCTCTGTGGGTTGACTTTGTCCTGGCTGGCTGTATAAATAGCCAGGTGCCTCCATTGACATGCCATCCCTGCATGAGTCCTGAGCCCCTGCACTTCTCACAGGCACCTAAGGGGCTCCAGGGCACACCCGCCTCTCGGCGCCTCCCCTTTAACCCACTGGCTAGGAGTGGATCCAACTCACGGCCACCCCAAGTTGGAAGAACTGCCCCACAGAGTTTCCAAGACTGTCATCGTTACAGAAGCAGGCTGGCCTAGCTTTCTCCTGCAGAGCTACTGTTGACCTGATGCCACTGACGTTTTAGGGAGCCGCGGAGTGCTTTAGCACGGCGCCCCCAACGCTCCCATTGTAATGTGCATGCTCCCAGGCTACACTCTCTCCCTCTCTGTTTGGATTACTCCAGCAGCCCTTCCCAACACTGCCTGGTTTCCATAGCTCCCCCACTCCTGTGCTCCCCCCAGGGAGGGGCACCCTGGCCCTGGCCCACACCCTGCCTGCCGTGTCTTTTCTTTCTGAGGTTTCTTGCCAGAATCTCCACCCCCCGCCTCTCTGTAGTGGCCTTTCCAGGTTCCTCCCTCTGGGTTATTGCTTGCTGTGTCCCCTCCCCCAAATGGCCCCGCTGCTCCCCGTGCGTAGGCAGGGTGTGGCCCAGCGAAAATCTGTGTCTCCCTGCCAGCCTCCTTCTGTCTCCTGGATGTTCTGGGAGCTGAGGTCCACTTCATGGCGTTTCTTGAGGCCTTGTTTTCTGGGGTTGTTTCAGGGCAAGTATCGAAGCCGCCGTATTTGCTGGGAGCCCTTCACCACATGCTTTCTTGGCTAAATCATTTTATTGGGGGCTCGTACAATTCTTATCACAATCCATCCATCGATCCATCCATGTATCCATTGTGTCAAGCACATTTGTACATTTGTTGCCATCATCATTCTCAAAACATTTGCTTTCTACTTAAGCCCTTGATATCACCTCCTCATTTTTCCCTCTCTCCCCACTCCCTCATCCCTCATGAAGGCCTGATAATTTATAAATTATTATTATTTTGTCATATCTGACACTGTCCGATGTCTCTTTTCACCCACTTTTCTGTTGTCCATCCCCTAGGGAGGAGGTTTTATGTAGATCCTTGTAATCGGTTCCCCCTTTCTACCCCACCTTCCCTCCA